CTGATGTCAAAGTCTATTAATATACATATCAGCCTGGATAGCTCTGTGGAACCTCTGGGTATCATCCAGAAAATGGCGTTTCATTACATTCAACGCTGGTTACTTTTTATTTTTTTATATTATAATTTATCTGTGTTTGATTGTGCCTTGAATAAAGATTTAGTGTACAGTATCTTGTGTAGAATATCCCAAGCATAAAGTAACCACTAGAGTATTAATTCTATATTATATTCTCATTAGCAAAGTCAGTGTTATATTTGAAAAGTCAGGTACTTGCTCCTTTTCAAGTTCTCTGAAAGTTTAGTATTGTTTATTGTGATGTGCACACATCACAATAAACTCTCTTTTGGCTGAACACTAAGTTTTATCTGGCAACTCTACTTCCTAGTTTAGAATTCATTCATTTCAGTAAAGGCAAATAAATCTATTTTTACAACATAATATTAAATAAAAAGTGCCCCACCTAGTTATTATTTAACCACAAATAACTATCATTTAACCACCATTTAACTACCAATATTGTAAGATTATTGTCTTCCCTGCTTATTCGAAGGGAGAAGAATGAGCTCTTTCAAAGTACAGTAGAACCTCGAGTGACGAGCGCCTCAATTGGCGAGCAATTTTGGTAACGAGCGCCCCAATCACCGACAATTCGTCTCGTTTGGTGAGCGCTCGTTTGAATAACACCACCACCACATGGTGGGGTCGCGCTGCTTCCCGCACATTCTCGGACGCCTCCGACGATGCAAATAAATTATCTTTTTTTGTTTAAAGATGCTAACGATGCTGGGATGTAAAGGGGTGACTGCAGTGATGTTGCAATGCATCGACTTTTTTGTAGAAAAAAGAAATTAAATTTAAAAAAAAAAGAACAATGTCAAAAGGGTTTGTTCGGTGTTTGTCAGGTAGGCTGCTCCATGTTTCATAAAAAAAATGAAAATTTTTGAAAAACTGAACAAATGTCAAAAAGGTTTGTTCGGTGTTCGGCAGGTAGGCAGCTCCATGTTTCTTAAAAAAAAAAAAAAAGTTGATACAATTTGAAAAACGGACAAATGCCATATAGGTTCGTTCAGGGTTTGTTGGGTAGGCTGCTCCATTATTGAGAAATAAATGAAAAATACAAAACAAATGGAACACATTTGAAACAAAGATTGTCATAATGGAGCAGTCTACCCAACAAACATTGAATGAACCTATATGGCATTTGTCCATTTTTTCAAATTGTTTCAACTGTTTTCTGGGGGGGAGCCCCTACGGCTCCCCGGAGCTATCCATGGCTGATATGGATATCCTAACTATTTTGCATCAGTCGATGTGGCTGGAGTTCTAGGCCTACTGGGGACCACGAGCCAGAATCTGGCCCCTCACAGAGGTACGAGGAGCAATGGCCCATAGAAATGCACGTGCGATTTGGAGTATTCGATATCTGCCATCGACCAGAACAAGCACCCAGAAAGGTAAGCGCCTCAAAACAAACCCCTATTCTGGTTAACAACGAAAATCGTCAAACGAGTGGACAGAACTCGCCAAAAGAAAAACGAGCAAACAGGCAAAATGCATGACGATTATCATTAACCAGAATAGGGGTTTGTATTGTGGCGCTTACCTTTCTGGGTGCCTGTCCCAGTCGATGGCATATATGGACTGCTCCAAATCACACGTGCATTTCTATGGGCCATTGCTCCTCGTGCCTCTGTGAGAGGGCCAGATTCTGGCTCATGGTCCCTGGTCGGCCTAGAACAGAACCAAGAACAGAACCGGAGCTATCCATCAGCAATGGATAGCTCCGGGGAGCCTCCGGGACTCGCCCAGAAAATTGCATTTCATTACATTCAATGCTGTTTTTTTTTTTTTTTTTTTTTTTTTTTAAGAAACATGGAGCTCCCTACCTGCTGAACACCAAATGAACCTTTTTAACATTTCTGTTTTTCAAAATTTTTCATTTTATTTTTTTTCATTATTTTATTTTTTAAGAAACATGGAGCAGCCTACCTGACAAACACCAAACGAACCTTTTGCTATACAAAAAATGAAACAAAAAAATTGAACAAATTTGAAGAAAGAAAAATGTCATAAAGGTTTGTTCAGTGTATGTAAGGTAGGGTGCTACATTATTTAAAACATCGAATATCATATTGATCTTTTTCGGTGGTAGAACGGATTAATTTGATTTCCATTATTTTAAATGGGGAAATCCGTTTTGAAAGACAATCCGTGGCTCACAAGTAGCATACTCAAATCAATCAACAAAAAACATGAATATGAAAAGAAATTTAGGATTGGCCTAGTTACAAAGGAAGTAGTTAAAAGGTACTCATCAATGCTTACCAGTATTATAAGAAAAGCTAAACTCTCATATTATGAGACTAGATTCAAAGAAGCAAAAGGCAACATGAAAAACCATCTCTAATATCCTAGGAACAAAACAACACTCCCACAACCAGATAACACTCTCTAAGGATGGCTTTACACTGTCAACTGATTTAGAAATGGCAAATGAATTTAATAGCTTCTTTTCATCGGTTGGTGCTAACCTTGCCAGTAAAATCCCACAGACTCAGACACATATCAACACATATCTCTCAGGCAGCTATCCAAACTCTCTTCTCCTTTCATCAGCCAGCTCGACAGATGTTGTGTCCATCATACACTCACTAAAAACCAATGCTGGGAACATCAGTGAAATTCCATCCATTGTATACAAAAGCGCCTCCCATGCCCTTGCGCCACCCATAGCTCTGCTGTTCAACAAATCCCTTGAATGTTGTACCTTCCCTGATATCCTTAAAAAAGCAAGAGTAATGCCAGTTCATAAAGGAGGTAATCCGGCAGACATAAACAATTATAGACCAATATCAAACCTACCCATACTATCAAAAATATTTGAAAAAATTATTTACAAACAGCTCTACTCCTACCTCGTAAAATTTGACATACTTGGCCCCCTGTCAGTTTGGCTTCTGCTCCCAAAAGAGTACCAACGATGCAATTATTAGTCTCCTTAATATAATTTACTCAGCCCTTGACAAAAATGAGTTTCCGATTGGACTCTTCATTGACCTGAGAAAGGCCTTTGATACTGTTAATCACAACTACCTCTTACGTAAACTCCACCATTATGGAATCCATGGCCATGCCCTGGACTATATCCAATCCTATCTTTGTGATAGACACCAATGTGTAGCCATCAATGGTATAACCTCTCCCACTCTACCAATAACCGTTGGAGTGCCACAGGGCAGCATCTTGGGACCTCTCCTATTTCTTATATACATCAATGATCTGCCTAATGTCTCTAACATTCTGAAACCTATATTGTTTGCTGATGATACTACCCTCATATACTCTAACCCCAACCCACATACACTAAATAATGTTGTTAATAATGAAAAAAAAAAAAAAGAGTCCACTTATGGATGTAAACCAACAAACTAACACTTAACATAGAAAAGACCTACTACATCTTATTTTTAAGCAAATCTACAAATGCAATTCAGCTTCAGATAGACAATGTAAACATTAGTAATAAAAATGATGGAAAGTTTCTTGGCCTATTCCTAGACAAGAGACTCAACTTCAGTACCCACATACAACACATAACTAAGAAAGTCTCTAAAACAGTTGGTATACTCCCCAAAATCCGATATTATGTACCTAACTCTGCTCTCATCTCTCTCTCTCTCTATATTATTCACTAATCTATCCCTATCTTAATTATGGTATCTGTGCATGGGGTTCAACCACTGCAAACCACCTCAGGTCCATCATCACCCAGCAAAAATCTGCTATCAGAATAATAACAAATTCTGCTTTCAGACAACACTCAGCCCCCCTTTTTTAACTCCCTAAACATGCTAAACATAATCTCACTCCACAAATTCTCTTGTGTCAACTACATTTACAAAACCCTGTTCTTAAATGCAAATCCTGCTCTGAAACTCTCCCTGGACACATGTAATAGGACCCATTATCACCACACCAGAAATAAATATCTCTTTGATATCCCCAGAGTCAAACTTAATCTGTGTAAATACTCTATGCAAATAAAGGGACCTAGTCTATGGAACTCACTCCCTAATGAATTGAAAAGCTGTCCAACTTTTGCGTCATTCAAAAACAAAACTAAAAAGTACCTAATTTCATCTTCATAGTTTTTTACCTTGTTCCTTTAAAATTGCACTGTATCTATTGCTACCCAATCTCCCAATCTTTATGTACCCAATCCAAACATCTTTACCATTGTGATCATTGCTTTCTTCTTATATGTGCTATCAATCTGCTGTATGATACCTATTAATCTTGTTTAAATTACCAATCAAGCTGTCAATGTAATCAATCAGAGCTTTAATATACCAATGTGCTTTAATATACTTACTAATCTCTCTAATCTCATTTTTTCCTGCAATGTATCTATTATCATTTTATTAATTCTGCTAGATTTTACCTACTTAAAATTATCTGTTAAATTAAGGACCTGCCCGAAACGCTGCGCGTACTAGTGGCTTTACAAGATTGTAAATACTATGCTATGTACTCTCACAAACCTTCGTGTACCTTTCATGTATATAAACAAATAAATAAAATAAATAAATAAAAAGCGTTTCACATAGCGAGCTCGGTGCCGGAACGGATTAAATTTGTTATTCGAGGTTCCACTGGACATCTCATTACACAATAACTTCATATATATGTATTCAGTAAGAATGGGCAAGGAAAACCCCCCATACCCTTACACAATCAAATCCCTACTGAAGTCAGCCAATATAGGCTACCACATCAAATTTGTGTTCATAACAATGGTATTTATTTGTGTGTATTAGAGAGGAAGTCTGAACATCAACCCCTCTTATCTATCAACATCCAACTAAAAATGGTTTCCTTAATCTGCTCCTTGATGTTTTTTTCCATCCTGAATATAGTCATGTTTGTATTCAGTAATTGTCTATTAGCATAGTGAATAAAATTAGCAAAAGATATAACTCATATCTATTGGTTTGCAGGTTTTGGAAACATGTGAGGAAGGTCGGCCAGATGAAGTGACGATTGAGGTCAGCCATGACGTTGCAAGCACAGACACGGACAGTGGCATGTCAGGTCAGAGAGTGGGCATCCTGCATTACATGAACTTATTCTTTGCCATAAACTGTATCAACAAAATTGTTGCTAAATGTTTTGCAGATGATGAGTCACAATAACAAGGCTGAAGATATGATGACCAAACTGCACATCAGAAGATGAGGAGACGACGACATTTCGGTCCGTCTTAGACTCCCCTTGTATCTGGTATAATCTACGACAGAACAACTGACCACTATCCTACCTTTCTCATAGCGAACATGGACATAACACCACCAAAAAGCAAGAAACTTTCATTTAGGCTACACAGTGAATCAGCTTTAGACAATCTTACAGAGGCACTTCACAATATTAACTGGGATTCTGAATTCAATAATACCCATGATATAAATTCATTAGCTAACCTCTTCCTCTCCAAAACTCTAAGCCTCTACAACCTTCATTGTCCCCTTCTTACAAAGCAAGTAACTGACAAAAGATTAAACAATCCATGGCTCACAAGTGGCATTCTCAACTCAATCAACAAGAAACATGAATATGAAAAGAAAGTTAGGATTGGCCTAGTTTCAAAGGAAGTAGCTAAAAGGTACTCATCAATGCTTACCAGTATCATAAGAAAGGCAAAACTTGCATATTATGTGAATAGATTCAATGAAGCAAAAGGCAACATGAAAAACACTTGGAAAACTATCTCTAGTATCCTAGGAACTAAACAACACTCACATAACCAAATAAAACTCTACAAGGATGGGGATATACCGTCAACTGATTTAGAAATGGCAAATGAATTTAATAGTTTCTTTTCATCGGTTGGTGCTAATCTTGCCAGTAAAATCCCACAGACCCAGACACATATTAACACATATCTCTCAGGCAGCTATCCAAACTCTCTTCTCCTTTCACCAATCAGCCCGGCAGATGTTGTGTCCATCATACACTCTCTAAAAACCAAGGCAGGGAACACCAGTGAAATTCCGTCCATTGTGTACAAGAGAGCCTCCCATGCCCTTGCCCCACCCATAGCACTACTGTTCAACAAATCTATAGAGTGTCACACCTTCCCTGATATCCTCAAAAAAGCAAGAGTAACGCCTGTCCATAAAGGAGGCAATCCGGCGGACATAAACAATTATAGACCAATATCAAATCTACCCATTCTATCAAAAATTTTTGAAAAAATTATTTACAAACAGCTCTATTCCTACCTCGTAAAATTCGACATACTCAGCCCCTGCCAGTTTGGCTTCCGGTCCCAAAAGAGTACCAATGATGCAATCATTAGTCTCCTTGACATTATCTACTCAGCCCTTGACAAAAATGAGTTTCCGATTGGACTCTTCATTGACCTAAGAAAAGCCTTTGATACTGTTAATCACAACTACCTCTTACTTAAACTCCAGCATTATGGAATCCGAGGCCTTGCCCTTGACTACATCCGATCCTATCTTAGTGACAGACACCAATATGTAACCATCAATGATACAACTTCTTCCACTCTACCAATTACCGTTGGAGTGCCACAGGGCAGCATCTTAGGACCTCTTCTATTTCTTATATATATAAACGATCTGCCTAATGTCTCTAATATTCTCAAACCTATATTGTTTGCTGACGATACTACCCTTATCTACTCAAACCTCAACCCACATACACTAAATAATGTTGTGAATAATGAATTAAAAAAAGTCCACTTATGGATGTCAACGAACAAACTAACATTAAACATCGAAAAGACTTACTACATCTTATTTGGAAGCAAATCATCAAATGCAATTCAGCTACAGATAGACAACATTAACATCAGTAATAAAAATGATGGCAAGTTTCTTGGCCTATTCCTAGACAAGAGACTCAACTTCAGCACCCACATTCAACACATAACTAAGAAAGTCTCTAAGACAGTTGGTATACTCTCCAAAATCAGATATTATGTTCCTAACTCTGCTCTCCTCTCACTATATTATGCACTAATCTACCCCTATCTTAATTATGGTATCTGTGCATGGGGGTCTACCACTGCAAACCACCTTAAGCCCATCATCACACAGCAAAAATCTGCTATCAGAATAATAACTAACTCTGCTTTCAGACAACACTCAGCTCCCTTGTTTAAATCTCTAAACTTGCTAAATATTAACTCCCTCCACACATTCTCTTGTGTCAACTACATTTACAAAACCCTGTTCTTAAATGCAAACCATGCTCTGAAACTCTCCCTGGACAGATGTAATAGGACCCATTATCACCACACCAGAAATAAATATCTCTTTGATATCCCCAGGGTCAAACTTAATCTGTGTAAACACTCTATGCAAATTAAGGGACCTAGTCTATGGAACTCACTCCCTAGTGAATTGAAAAACTGTAAAACTTTTGCCTTATTTAAAAGCAAAACCAAAAAGTACCTAACTTCATCTATTTAGTTTCCTACACTGAGCTTTAAATTTGCTCTGTACCTAGTGTTACCCAATCTCCTAATTTTTATGTAATATCAAACAACCTTATCATTGTGTTCATTGCTGTCTTCTTTTATGTGCTAGCCATATGCTGTATTGTGACTACCAATTTTTGTCAACTACCATTCAAGCTGTCATTGCAATCAATCTTATATTGTTTCTGCTGTATTGTGCCTACCAATTTGTTGTCAACTACCATTTTAAGCTGTCATTGCAATCAATCATAGCTACCTATGTCATTATCAACTTGATAATGGTCCAGGATGGACCAAAATGTCGTCGTCGTCTCATCTTCTGGTGTGTGGTTTGGTCATCTTAAATGTTTTAACATAATTAAAATAGGCAAAAATGACAGCTTCTTCCTTATAATTCAGGTGGTGTGAAGGAGAGTCGTCGAGGTCGACACAAACGAGGTGAGGTGAGTGAGGGTGGGTCAGAGGGCAGTGAGGAGAGGTCACTGACCCCACTGCACCATCCAGCCCACAGACCGCCCACTGTCAGTCCTGACCAAGGTGTGGTCACTGATGACTGCTGGGGCAATGCAGTCACTGGTGATGGTGCGCCTTTACAGTTTAAGGTTTGTGTAATGATCATTTTATATATATATATTTTACTAATGCACTGTATTTATTGTTTACATTCAAATCTGTTTTAGTTATCATGGCAAATCTAGCAATCAGATAAATTAATTCAATTGATTATTACACTACACATCCAATATACATTTGACATGACATTCAAAACTATTGTGGTAATTCAAAATTCAGTTAGATAAAGTCATCAGGACAAATGGATGGGACTTTTGACAAGCCACTAACTTCCTGTCTTTATTGAGGCCACTAGAGGACCACATAGAGAACATTGTGGAAGGAGTGTATGCTATGCTTCCCAAGGTTTAGGAATCGCTTTTAAGTACAGTAGAACCTCGAGTGACGACTGCCTCAAATGGCGACCATTTTGGGTAACGAACGCCGACAATTCGTCTCGTTAGGGGACCGCTCATTTGAATAACATCAACCCCACATGGTGGGGTTGGGGGCGACATTCTCGGTCGCCTCCGACGATGCAAATAAATTATTTTTCTTTGTTTAAAGATGCTATTGATGCTGGGAGTTTACAAAGCATTGACTTTTTGTAGAAAAATGAAATTAACTTTTTTAAAGAAAGAAAGAAATGTCAAAAAGGTTCGTTCAGTGTTTCTCAGGTAGGCTGCTCCATTATTGAGACATAAATGAAAAATACAAAACAAATGGAACACATTTGAAACAAAGAAAGATTGCTAAATGGAGCAGCCTACCCGATAAACACTGAACGAACCTTTATGGCATTTATCGTTTTTCAAATTGTTTCAACCTTTTTTTTTTTAGTTTTTTTTTTTTTAAGAAACATGGAGCAGCCTACCTGCCAACCACTAAACGAACCTTTTTGAAATTTGTTCTGTCTTTCATATATACCATGGTTACAGTATACAGTATATCTATATGTAATGATATAGTCTTATATCTAACTAGTACAGTATTACTGTACTATAATAAATTGAAATTAATTTTAGAATTTTATTTTTCCTGCCTCAGATTGAAGAACATGTTGAGGAAATCACTACTCATCATCTGACAGATGACGACCAGGACCTGGAAGGCATCTACGATGAAGAAATAAGTGACTCTGGTGGGTCATGGCGAGGTTCTCGTTGTTCCTTGGATGACTCGAGAGAGACAAGACGTCACAAGGTCTCTCACCATTCCGTGACAGAAGATCCTCTGTTGTCAACCATTAATGCTGTACTTCCCGACCCTGCCCAGATCTCCTCCAGAAGGGCTTCCTTCCCTGAACTTGGTGCTGATATTATACAAGGTTAGTTTTTCATGCCTTTTTATAATTTGTTGAAGGATACTACAGTACATCCTCGATTCAACAAACTATATGGGACCAACTCCAGTGCGTTGGAGCGTTGGATTCGTTGCAAGAAATCTTGCCTTCAGGAGGCATTTGGGTCAGTGTCCTTTTTTTTTCTTGTACGCAATAAAAATGCATTATCACATTACATACTGTATATATTACTACTCTACTAAAAAATACTGTTTTACATGTGTTATTTACCTTATTGTTGGAGTTATGTCCATCTTGAAGTTTCATGGATTTTTTTTTTTTTGAGATATATACAAGAGCTGTTACATTCTTGTACAGCCACTAGTACGCGTAGCGTTTCGGGCAAGTCCCTGGATTACGACCCCCACGAAGAATCGTTGTTACAACCAAGTACTCATTTTACTGTTGAGTTAAACAGAGGCTACAGATAAGGATTTGTGAACAGTAAATCCTCCCCGGCCAGGATACGAACCCATGACAAAGCGTTCGCAGAACACCAGGCGAGTGTCTTACCACTACACCACGGAGACTGGTGTTGTGAATGCTGTACAGTAAATACGTACAGTAAATACGGCTCACCCCTCTCCCCTCCCGGGCAGGGGGTGAGCTGCACAGACATGTGGCACAGCTCGTATGATACCTGGTTGATGGGGTTCTGGGAGTTCTTCTACTCCCCAAGCCCGGCCTGAGGCCAGACTTGACTTGTGAGAGTTTGGTCCACCAGGCTGTTGCTTGGAGCAGCTCGCAGGCCCACATACCCACCACAGCCCGGTTGGTCCAGCACTTCTTGAAGGAAACAATCTAGTTTCCTCTTGAAGATGTCCACGGTTGTTCCTGTAATATTTCTGATGCTCGCTGGTAGGACGTTGAACAACCGTGGGCCTCTGATGTTCGTACAGTGTTCTCTGATTTTGCCCATGGCACCTCTGCTCTTCACTGGTTCTATTCTGCATTTTCTTCCATGTCGTTCACTCCAGTACGTTGTTATTTTACTGTGTAGATTTGGGACCTGTCCCTCCAGTATTTTCCATGTGTATATTATTTGGTATCTCTCTTGTCTCCTTTCTAGTGAGTACATTTGGAGAGCTTTGAGTCGATCCCAATAATTTAGGTGCTTTATCTCGTCTATGCGTGCCGTATATGTTGCCTGTATTCCCTCAATTTCAGCAATCTCTCCTGCTCTGAAGGGGGAAGTGAGTACTGAGCAGTACTCCAGACGGGACAACACAAGTGATTTGAAGAGTACAACCATTGTGATGGGATCTCTATCGGTAAAGGATAGAGATGTCATGCTTGTTTGCTCATGTTTTCCTTTGGCGAGTTATGTCCACTCGTTTGATGTTTTTCGTTGTTAACCAGAATAGGGGTTTGTTCTGTGGTGCTTACCTTTCTGGGTGCCTGTCCCAGTCAATGGCAGATATAGAATGCTCCAAATCACATGTGCATTTATATGGACCATTGCTTCTTGTGCCTCTGTGAGAGGGTCAGGTTTTGGCTTGTGGTCCCTGGTAGGCCGAGAACTCCACCCACATCGACTGATGCAAAATAATTAGGGTATCCATATCAGCCATGGATAGCTCCAGGGAGCCGTAGAGGCTTCCCAAAAAACTTGTTTTAGAACTGATTAATAAATCTTATTATTTTGAGGCCGTAGGTCACTGAACTGTGGCAACGAAATCGAATGAAACACGCATGGTGCTGTGTGTACAAGGATTAGACCCATCCCCTCGCACTGGAGTTGTTGTTCCAATAACATAAATTTGCCTGCAGGCCCATGTCTGGGGTACGCTACGCACCTCCGGGTATTTGTATTTTTCACGTTCCATTCAAAACTCCCGTGGCTACATGGGGTTCACATCAGCTTCCTCAGGACTCTTGTAAACAGACACCATCTTTAAAAAAAAATCGTGGTCCACATTCCTGGGGTGAGAGCCTCAGTACTCGGTGAGCAACCAAGGCTGGCACACGCAGCATGAGCTCACAGCACCGCTGTTCAGCTTGTGACCACAGCATTGCCTAATACAGTGGCACTTCGATTAACAAGTTTAATCCGTTCTGGCACCGCGCTCGTTATGTGGAAAACTCGTGTTAAGAAACAAATTTCCCCATTTAAAATAAAGGAAATAAATTTAATCCATTCCACTCCCAAAATATCCATACTTGTATGACATTTTATAATGTAAATATAATACTGAACATGTAATTATAAATGTTTTGTTGTACTGTTTTCATTTATTTATTTATTTATTTATTTATTTATTTATGCATATACAAGAAGGTACATTGGGAATGTGAGGATACATAATATGGTAATTACAGTCTTGTAAAGCCACTAGTACGCGCAGCGTTTCAGGCAGGTCCTTAATCTAAGAAAATTTTAAGTAGGTAAATACTTGCAAAATTTATAAACAAAAAAAAAATGATAAGTTACATGGCAAGAAAAAAAAAGAGAAAATTGTAAGTACAATATATTAAAGCACATAGGTAGCTCAGATTGATTGCAATGACAGCTTGAATGGTAGTTGACAAAAATTGGTAGGCACAATACAGCATATGGCTAGCACATAAAAGAAGACAGCAATGAACACAATGATAAGGTTGTTTGGGTTAAATACATAAAAATTAGGAGATTGGGTAACACTAGGTACAGAGCAAATTTAAAGCTCAGTGTAGGAAACTAAGAAGATGAAATTGGGTACTTTTTGGTTTTGCTTTTAAATAAGGCAAAAGTTTTATAGTTTTTCAATTCACTAGGGAGTGAATTCCATAGACTAGGTCCCTTAATTTGCATAGAGTATTTACACAGATTAAGTTTGACCCTGGGGATATCAAAGAGATATTTATTTCTGGTGTGGTGATAATGGGTCCTATTACATCTGTCCAGGGAGAGTTTCAGAGCATGGTTTGCATTTAAGAACAGGGTTTTGTAAATGTAGTTGACACAGGAGAATGTGTGGAGGGAGTTAATATTTAGCAAGTTTAGGGATTTAAACAAGGGAGCTGAGTGTTGTCTGAAAGCAGACAGACATGTTTACTTTACCTTATGAAGAGTCGTTGCTGGCTTGATGGAGACAATGGGGAGGAGGGAGGAAGGAGAGGAAGGAGAATCCACCTCTGAATCAGGGGGGCTCTCTCTTCTTGGGAATTTCACCCCACTGGGACCGGGTTGTGGTTCACTATCACTGGCTCTTCTTTTCTCTACTTTTGCAAAGAACATATCTATTGACAATTGCTTTTGTCTTTGTTTTAGGATGTTCCTAAAACAAGACAGCAAATTGTCATTAAACATGTTCACACACTGGGTTGTTACTGCTTTATCAGGGCAACTTTTCCAAGAATGCGGTCACCTTTTCAAACATGCCCAACATTTCCCTGATCTCACTGGAAGAGGCAGCATCCTCCCTTACCTCCTCATCCCATTACTAATGGTGCAAATTGTTGATGAGGACCTGCCATACCCCCTTGTGAGATTAGTCACACAGACACCACGCTCATGCTTTGCTATAATTTCCTTCTTCAAATCCACAGTAATTGTGTCTTTCTTCATCTTGACAACACTATCTTTAAGCAACACTAGAAGCAAGCAGCTTCTTTGGCGACATCGTGCATTACAAATTGTAGTCACAAAACCACAAAAAACAATGAAAAGCACAAATAAATGCAGAGGGATGCTTGTCGTGCACGATACAACAACAACACTGGCGTCGGAGGCATCCAAGAATTTGCGACAACCTGCGAGACACTAGGAAGCACCATATGGTTTTGCTCGTTAATAGAGGTGAAGCTCATCAATAGAGACAAATTTGCTGCGAGTGGCTCGCTCGTTACTGGAAATGCTTGTAAATAGAGCCGCTCGTTAATCGAGGTGCCACTGTAATGTCAAAAAAAATATATATAACTTGTATTATTTAGCCATGATAGAATTACAGAAAAGCCTGAGTAATTACCTAAGTGTAGTTACAGGATGAGAGTGTGATAATGACGGTGTACAATATTAAAAAATTAGTGATTCAATGCTGTTCACGATGTTCACAGCACTAACCACAGCATTATTTCGTACATCTAGGAAATTTCAAATGACTTCTTAGGTTCCTTTACAAAATAAACTTGTGGTCAATTATGTATTTACAGGATTTAGTGACCAGTATTGTGATAACAGCAGGATTGTGGTGATAATAAGCACTGTGCATAGTATTGTGGGAGGAGGAATTGTAGTGAGGGAGCGAGGGAGAGAATCGAGGTAGCCTCACTGTGTGGGGCAGCCATTCTTGTTTTGCTCATCATACTAGCTTAGTGGTTCGCTATGGTGAACACATTTGTACATGGGTCTATACACTGTGTGTATATAGTGTAGTAACAACAACAGGAGTATGTTGGGAGGAGCTATTTTGGTGAGGGAGATGACATAATCGTAGTGTCGTCTGCTGGCTTCTGTGTGATTTCTCATGCAGTGTATGATGGCCACTGTAAAGTTTGGACACAATACTGGCTTACTTGCATAGTTCTGGTGAATAAAACATGCAGATAGGTATACATAACATGTGTAAATAGTGTAATACAAACAATAACGGTATACAGTAGTGAGAGGAGCAATGTTGGCGAGTAAGATTTTGGAGGAGTGAGGGAGAGACTGGATGTTGGAGGAGTGAGGGTGTGGCAGCTGACACTCGCGGAGTTCTGAGTGTTGATGGTGAATGTGTATAGTGTGTGATAGTGTATAGTGTGTAAATAGACTGTATATATAAATAAATTAGCATGATACAATGGAAATATGTGCCGGATATGTGTACACGCGTCATGCACGTAACAGTGTCTTCGGACAGTACTGATGTTCTACTGCCATAATATAATGTACGTGTTCATTATACATTGGATTGGCACATAAAAGCATATAAAATGTATTTGGAACTGTGCACCGAAAATGAACAAAAATATATTCGCGGCAACTCGCGCATCCTGCCCCGAGTGCCATACCGGCCCCGGGGGCGTACACCACTGGCGACCAGGGAATGATGACGTCATGCACGAACTTATGGACCCCATATCAGCCAAAGTACGTACAATTTCCACCTTCTGTTACTGTACCCATACCCAGGGAAAGGTTTTTGACACTTTCAAAACAGAAAAAATTATTCCAGAGATTTAATTTCCTGCGCACTGGTGGGGTGTCATATTTGGAGGCCGTGCAGTTAAGGGGTTAATTAGGATAATAAAAAGCTAATAAAACACTGGTTTTAGAAATGATTTATTAATCTGAAACTATTAAAGTCATGGGTCACTGAACTATGACGACACAGACAAAGGAAAACCAAGTGAAGTTTAAAGCACAGTATTCCCTTATCTGTCCACCCTCACTCACCTTGTTTCATCACAGAAAATGTCTGTAAGAAGATTTTACCACATTAGCTAGCTACATCACTCTTCAGCCTTTAAATTAATTTACAAAGATACATGTGCCACAAATCAGTGAACGAAAATCATAGAAACTCAGTCGTTCATTTGTGTGGACCACTCTGGCTGGTGTTTGGTTAATGTGCTTCACTTGTTGTGTGGTACACTTAATTGTGTGGTACACTTAATTGTGTGATCCAACTTGTCTTATGAAGGAATTATTAATTGTAATCTGTGATAGAATGAGAACGTTTTCCATAACTTTGTGAACTCTGTCCCAACATTGTAAGCTTGTGGTCCACTTATGTGGTTCACTTGTGAGGTCCACTTGTGTGATCGAACTTGTCATATGAGGGAACAATTAATTGTAATCTGTGATAGAATGAGAAAGTTTTCCACCACTCTGTGAACTGTCCCAACATCGTAAGCTTGTGGACCACTTGTGCGGTCCACTTGTGTGATCGAACTTGTCATATGAGGGAATTATTAATTGTAATCTGTGATAGAATTGGAAAGTTTTCCACCAGTCTGTGGAACTGTGTCAACATCGTAAGCAAATCTGAACATCCCCCGCTTCGGCGAACCATTGTTCGTCAAACCGGGTGAGTAAATCCGGCCTGAAAAGTCTAGCGAACTAACCGGAGATCCATTGAATCAGGGTACATTGAATCGAGGTTGTACTGTATTTCTAATGGCCTCTGCTGCATCCCATCATTCCTGCTCTTTTTCTGTCTTTGGCAGCTAGGGGTGAAACTAGCATTAAATTGTTTACAGTCAAATTGTAATGTACTTGTCTTTGAAGCCAAGCAAGATACACTATATATGCATATTTGATAAGGGGGGTTCAAAATATAATTGAGATGCAGGAACATAATAATGTTGATGCCCTTACTAAGCTTGTAATAAATAAAGACAATGTTGAATATAATCTTGGGCTATCAAATATAACTCTAAAGAGTGTCATTAGATCAGAACTAAAAGAGGTGATGATCACTACCTACAGAATAGTAACAGGAATAAACAAAATTGACAAAGAAGAATTCTTTAAATCTGTATCACCAAGAAAAAGAGATCATAGACTAAAGCTAAGGAAATAAAGCTGCCAACAAAATTGAGAAAGTTTCCTTTCACAAGCAGAGTGGTAGATGGTTTGAACAAATTAAGTGGGAAGGTGGTGGGGGCCGAAACCATCAGTAGCTTCAAAGCATTATATAACAAAGAATGCTGGGAAGATGGGACACCACAAGCATACCTCTCATCCTGTAACTATCTTCTTGAGGTTATCTTGAGATGATTTCGGGGCTTAGTGTCCCCGCAGCCCAGTCCTCAACCAGGCCTCCACCCACAAGAAGTAGCCCTTGACAGCTTCCTAACTCCCAGGTACCTATTTACTGCTAGGTAACAGGGACATCAGGGTGAAAGAAACTCTGCCCATTGTTTCTCGCTGGTGCCCGGGATCTAACCCAGGACCACAGGATCACGCGTCCAGTGTTCTGTCCGCTCAGCCGCTGGCTCCCTAACTACACTTAAGTAATTACACAGGATGAGCATGGGGTGAACAAGAGGTCATAGATTTAAATTAATGAAACAAAGCTGCCGGAGAAATATAAGAAAATATACTTTTGTAAACAGAGTGGTAGACGGTTGGAACAAGTTAGGTGAGAAGGTGGTGGAGGCCAAAACTGTCAGTAATTTCAAAGTGTTATATGACAAAGAGTGCTGGGAAGACGGGACACCACAAGCGTAGCTCTCATCCTGTAACTACACTTTTTTTTTTTTTTTTTTGTTTTTTTTTTTTTTTTGAGATATATACAAGAGTTGTTACATTCTTGTACAGCCACTAGTACGCGTAGCGTTTCGGGCAAGTCCTTAATCCTATGTTCCCTGGAATACGATCCCCTGCCGCGAAGAATCGTTTTTTCATCCAAGTACACATTTTACTGTTGCGTTAAACAGAGGCTACAGTTAAGGAATTGCGCCCAGTAAATCCTCCCCGGCCAGGATACGAACCCATGACATAGCGTTCGCGGAACGCCAGGCGAGTGTCTTACCACTACACCACGGAGACTGCAAATTACTTAGGTAATTACAATAAGCTATCACTCATATGATGAATATAGGGTGCACAATAAACTATCCTCACATAATAAATATGGGGTGTACAAATAAACAACCACTCATGGAATGAATATAGATTGCACAATAAACTACCGCTGCTTTCAAGAACCACACAAGAAATCAAATGGTGAAAAAATCTGGTTTTCCAGGATTTGATCTTTTCAGACTATTGCAATATAGATAGTATGGGAAAAACAAATAGAACAAATATTTATTTCTTCATTTAAATAAAGTAAGATAAAGATGTTCTTCACTTGACATTTTAGAAGGCAAGAATAGAAATTTGTTGCTGTAATTGGAAAAAAGAAATAGCTATTGGAATCAAGAAAGGGATTCAGAAATAATGCACAAATGAAAGAAAAATAACCCTATTATTAGAAATATGTAAAGGAACAAAGAAAATGTATGTGCCATGTGGAGGGAATAATTAGGATAAAGTGCTAGAGCAAGATGACTATGTAGTACTTGGAAAGAATAGGAGGACAATAAGAGCTGTCTGTGTATGTAACCTGTTTTTGTAACCAACCACAACATAAAATTTCTGGAAACTTTATTAAAATAAAAATGCTGTACCATTGACGCTGTCTTTTGCTAATGAGCATTGACCTCGATGGCTTGGTGGGTTACCTAGGTTGATATGCCTCTGAATAGGCAGAACCCACTTTTAAATAACACTTGTCAAATAATGAGAATAGAGTTGTGGATGTTTATTGGATTTTATAAAGCCATTGCCGGTAAAACATTATCTACAGATACAAGTATCAAGAATTATTCTCAACATGATATTTCTATACATTAACAAATTTGCTGATAAGTAAACAAATAATGATCTATTTTTGAGCATGACAAAAATTACAGCATTTGATGTTTCAGATTCTTGTTTGGATGTAGAATGCTGTGAAGTTGGCCCTTGCGACATGGTGCTGGACTCTGACACTTGGGAAGAGAACTGGCTCTTCCGTCGGCAGCGGCTCACTGGTGCTTCTGTTGTTGATCCTGTCACCATGCTGATCCCTAACCCTGAGGCACATGTTCCAGCTACTGTGGGAAACAGGTTCGTCTCCTAATAATAGTAACAGTAACGATAATGAGAATAACAGTTGGAGCCATGAGGATTTGAGCCTGTACCCTGGGTACTCCCAAACACATGCCTTAACCCACTAGACCACAATATATTAAGAGTAATGTAACCTGGGATTCAACTGAATCATCTACGGGGGTCCTGAGGTATCGACCAGATACCAAATCAAAGTTTCACACGTTAATTGTGTAAACACACTGGTGCTGTATAGGAGTTCCACCCCCAACGCTCACTTCAATGTGATTTCTTTGTGCATTTGGTTATACCTGAGGTGTAACATACTGGGTTATACCTCGGCTCTGAGGCATAGCACTACAGCTCACTAAAATTACTATAAAAGTCACAGATACTCCCTTCAAGGACATAACAAAGAATAGGTATTGTGACAAAAATAAAAAATAAAGATACAGGCAAAGGGTATCTTTAATAATTAGTAAAGCTCAGGACCAGAAGCAGAGAAATCAGGGCTTGGGACATAGGCAAAGTCAGCAGAGATGGTTAGGCTGAGAGGGCCATGGGAAGGAGCATAGGGGAGTTGACAGGGTCTAATGAAGGTGCCAAGGAGGGGTGATCATGGGAATTGGGCTGAGGAGGAACACAATGGCATGCAGTGGATCAGGGGCAGCATCAGAGGAAAGACCAACTATAGCGAGGTCAGATGGCTCTGCTATCAAGATGGGAGGAGGTGCTGGAACAAGATTAGAGGGGTGAGATGTGGCAAGGACCAATGCCTTCTTACTTGCTGGGGAGGAAGGAGAGGGACCAGTACCAGGCTTACATTTTAATGGTAGAGACAGTAACAATAATGCCAAGGTATTGAGATAGCCACTATTGTCTCAGGTGGAGAGGGAGAATGACAGCTGGTGACACAAGGTGGATGAGTGGAGGGTGGACATTGGTCTAGATGGCTATATGCTGGGGAGGGCCAAAGGACAGAGGGGAGGACTGAAAAGGAAGAAGAACCAAGAATTGGAGGGATCCACAGTGGATAAAAAAGGCCAAAGAGGCGACAGAAAATTGACGAGCAGGGGGAAAACTGGGAAGGCAGGACAGAAATGCCAGCCAATGGCACCACATGGACACTCATTGACTCAGATTGTAGGAGAGTGGGAAAAGAAGGGAAAGCTCATGGATGTGATGGAGTCCAAGGCTTGGAAGTGTTTGTGAACCCGAGGAGGGGTAGGAAAGTGGGGAAAGGGGAGCATGACATAATGCAAGTCATGCTAGAGTAAGAGGATAGAATGTAGACCTGGTATTTTACTTCGTGGGAAAAAAATATGAGATTCTGATGTGAAAGGTGGAAGATGGCCTGTTTAAATAAATAGACAAAAACATTTAAAAACAAAGTGGGCATCTGTTGATGCATCACTGTAGTTGATGCAGTGAGAATGAGGATAAGAACAATCTATCCTAGAATGATCTGAGAAACTACACAAGGAGCAAAAAGGCACTTTACTACTATATTTTGAGGCTCTATGCCTGAATTTCCAACACCTATTACAGAGGTGTCAAGAGGGAACATATTCCTGAATGAAACATTTGGCACCAGCTAAAATAATTGAGGACAGAAAGGTCCAACTATAGAAGGTTACTTTAACCACCTTAAGGAGATGACGATGAGTACCACAAGGGAGCCGAGTGAATATGTCAACCTGGAGGACAGGATAACCCTGGGCCTTGAGGATATGCAGTACATAATGCATAACTGACAAATGCAAGACCTTGCATGTGGGGCATAGCAACCCACACCACCACCACCAAATGAATAACATTTCACTACAACAGATTGATGAAGAAAGGTACCTGGGAGTCAGGATCCACCACTCTCTGAAAGTTGTACAAAAGGTAAGGGAAGCAGTCAGAAAAGCCAACCAAACTCTTGGAACAGTCAAGTGTACCTTTGACTTTAAGGAAAAGAAGGCATTGGTCTAACTGTATAAATCTCTAGTGCATTTGGATTACTGTATCCATGCATTGAGACCTCATCTTGAGAAGGACATAACTGCTCTGGAGAAGGTGCAACACCAAGTAACAAAAGTCATTCCAGAGCTAAGTCATTTCTTGTATTAGGAGCAGTTAAGGGTCACAGGGCTATCAACACATCAAACCAGGCATGACAGGGTAGATCTCATGGAAACTTTTAAAATACTGAACAATCTGGGCAATTTCTTCAAAAGGTTAAATGTAACACAAACAAGGAGTAATGGTTTCAGACTCGACAAGCCACTATGTAGGACTGAGAACAGGAGATGCATTTTCACCTACAAGGTTATAAACCCACGGAACTGCCTACCCACTGAAGCTGTAAATGCAAAGTCTCTATTGAATTTAAAAATTCAACTGGAAAAGATTATCAAGGCAAATGGAGGGACCTTTGACAAGCTGCCAGCTTCCTGTCCTTGTCGAGGACACTAGTGTCAGGTAAATTTCTTCGGGTATATTCAGATAAATAATTTCCTCATGTCAGTCCTTAAGTTCTCCGTCCGCTGTCTCAACATGAGGTGGAATAAGGATTGTTTCGACACTGGCATTCAATAAAACGTTCTTTGAGACCCAAACTGAGGCCTCACAAATGTCAGATAGAGTAGCTAAATGAACGACCATCTTCTTAGAGATAGGGGCCTTGATGACATGGGTGCCAGTCTGGGTGGGAGTGAACTGAACATGAACATCTACAGTTTATAAGGTGTTTGTGTGCACAACATCACGGCGGGTACAGTCATCATGGAAGACATGAAAATATTTGGGCCACATAGTGAGGGTTAAATAGATCCTGAAATGTAGCAGCTGCTCTGGAAAATGTACTCGCCTAGTTGTGCTTGCAGGTGTTGAGCTTCAGCTCTTTAGTCCCACCTCTCGACTGTCACTCATACTGGTGTACAGGTTCCCAAGTCTTTTGGGCTCTATCATATCTACATTTGAAATTGTGTATGTAGTTTGCCTCCACCACATCACTGTCTAATGCATTCCATTTGTTAACTACTCTGACACTGAAAAAATTCTTTCTAAATCTCTGTAGCTCATTTGGATATGAAGTTTCCACCTGTGTCCCCTCGTTCATGTTCCATCCTTGCTAAATAGTTTGTCTTTGTCCACCCCTGTCATATACAGTGGTACCTCGCATAACGAATTTAATCCGTTCCATGTTCGTCATGTGAAACGGACGTCATACAAAACGAGTGTCCCCCATATAACCAGTGTGATGCACTGTGTTTATTGTGAAATTCCCCCAGTGTGCATGACATCAAATGTTCCCCAAAATATCATTTTTCTTTGCAAAATGATAAATTACCGTCCCTGAACATGTCTATGTAAAAATAATTACCAAATTCCACTTACTTTGGCTGTGAGGGAGTCGACAAGGTGCGCTGTGACGTCATCAGGGCCTGGTCGCCCGTGTGTGAAGCTCCCAGACACGGTCGCGCAGGCCATTCAAGCACCGCGTGTTGCCACAAATATATTTTCAAATATTTTTTCTATGCATTTCCAATGCGGTTTTATTTGTTTCTTTTATCGTATATGATGCATATTTGTGACCTTTACAATATGTATACAGTAGAATGTTCATAATTTTCCATGAAACTGTGATACATGTGTCAGTAATGTGTCCACAATAAATGTTTATTGTCACAATATTACGTGGTAAAAATTCACTAAAATTACAATATGTACAGTTTCACATATTATTTACACAATAATACACTGTATTACACACTCAGTACTTTGGAGGTGCGTAATAGTCAATGAAGTAGTCCATGGTACACAGCGCGACTTTGCTCTCCTTGCACCAGCTACAGATAGATTTTCGTTTCCTGTTTCATCGTTCTGTGTGCTTGCAAATAACGCACTCGTGTGCACCCTTGGCTTTAGTACTTGTAGGTGGTATGTAGCCAAGCTTGTAAAGCATAAGGTAGTATTGAAACGATTAAAGGAAAAGCTCAATTTGTAAGATAGTCTTGAAAAGATCGCTTTGTAAGGTCCCACACAGGAAGAGATTCAGCTTGCCTCAAAGAGTGTCCATCAGTCAGGAAGAGATTCAGCTGGCCTCAAAGAGTGTCCATCAGTCAGGAAGAGATTCAGGTATTCTTGAAAATATCAATGAACAACACCACCATGGAAGCCGCTAACACTGTTCATCTATGCTAATTGTATCAGATGCATCATCACTGAACGCAGAAAACGATTCATCTATGTATCATCTATATAAATTCGAGATGGCAAGGGTGGGGCTCAGAGCTACACCTGGATACTCTCGCTGTATCATCCTCATAGGTGCTGTATCACTGGCATCCGACCATTGTGTTAAGCCCTTATTGTGCCTAGCTTCACCAATGTTATGACCCTTATGTTCTTCAAACAATAGGGTCTGAATTGCACCGACTGAGCGCAGTCTTTCAACACCGTGTGGGACAGGTGTTTGAGAGCCAGAGGCACGTGTGCCACAAATGGTTGTTCACGCAGTACTAACCCAGCCAGCAGCCCTTGTCTTTCATATTTGTTATAGCAAAAGGTTCGTTCAGTAATTGTTGGGTAGGCTGCTCCATTATGACAATCTTTCTTTGTTTCAAATGTGTTCTATTTGTTTTGTATTTGTCACTTACGTCTCAATAATGGAGCAGCCTACCCGACAAACACTGAACGAACCTTTATGGCATTTGTCCATTTTTCAAATTGTTTCAGCAGTTCTTTTATTTTTCGTTTTTTTTTCTATTTAAGAAACATGGAGCAGCCGACCTGTAGACCACCGAACGAACCTTTTTGACATTTGTACTGGTTTTCAAAATTCTTCATTATTTTTTTTTTTCATTATTTACATTTTTTGTATGTAAGAAACATGGAGCAGCCTACCTGCCGACCACCGAACGTACCTTTTGCTATAAGACAAATGAAAAATAAATATTGAACACATTTGAAGTAAGGAAAATGTCATAATGGTTTATTCAGTGTATGTAAGGTAGGCTTCTCCATTATTG